ATTGTATTAAAAGCCCTACACTGAAGAGAGGAGACAAAGAGTGGGTGAGGGAGGGCACCTTGTGCTAGTTTATGTCTAGCTTATCGAGGTGCTACACCTCCAACCGCTCAGACAATCTGGAAAGAAACTGAAAGCACGAACGCCACTGACATCGATTAGCCGCCATTTCTTGCAACGTCTTCAGCCAAGCACAGACGGGGTCACGGGGACCCCATCCTGGAAGGCGTACAACACCCAAGCTCTTCGTGATCTCTTTGACGCCTTTCTCCCAAGTCATAAACTGTCCACCTTGCCATCCTGAAAGAGGCACGGAGAACAACACTCGTCTCGGTAGACGGTGTTTCGGCATGCGTAGCACATGACCGAGCCATCGTAGTCGATGCTGCTGGATGTTTTCTTGGACTGAAGTGCCTGCAGCACCACAAAATACCCGTTTTCTAATCACCTCGTTACAAACTCGCTGACGCCATCCAAAACCAGCCATGCCTCTGAGGCATCGGTGGTCGAAAACTTGAAGACGTCTCACATCATCTATCTGCAGAGGCCATTTCTCGCACCCATACAACAACACAGCCGTTACTGTAGCCTGGTACACACGACTCCTAAACGTTCAGCTGTAGCACCCTTTTGGTGCCCAGCTGCCATGCCACCCGAAGGTTGCACGAGGGCTGAACCACTGCCGGGTTGCCCAGGCCTAGAAAAGGGAAGTTGAGAGTTAGAGATCTGGTTCGAACCACGGACCTTCCGGTAAGTAAGTTGGCGTTCGGCCAAGTATGAGCCGCTGTACAGTCAAGAGCTTGCGCTGTCGAGTCGGCTTGTGTAATCCCCTGTTCACTGGTTTACCAGACAGGTGACCGTTTATGGTCATTCATGTTCGGTTTTCTCGATACGACCCCTTTTTTCCAAGCGCAGTTCGCCTAGCGTATCTCCCACCAACTGCATATCTTCTTGTCCCGTGAAACTTCGGCCTTTTGTGCTGTGACCGGCAAAACAGTGGTCTGTCATTTTTCTACCCATTTAATTGCTACTTGCTCTCAAACTGTCACAAAAACCTCAAGCTTAATTTCGTTCTGATTTTCTTCAGTGCTCATATGTTAAAAATCTTCCATGCGTTTGCTTGCAACCCGTGCTGGTCAGTCAGACAACGGTTTCTAAGTACTGCTCGGTTGGCGTCACGATCTCTGCTCCGGATCCAGGGTGACACAGTCGAAACATTCCTCCAAGGGCTTGTCACCAATGATGTCATGTATATCTCTCGCCCGGGGTCATTCATGTATACTTTTCTGTTGAACATTAAGGTGATTTTCGTTGTGATCCAAAACCATAGTCTTTCGAAAGGGTAGAATTTTGACAGATGCGTTCATCTATCATTTGCAATGTCATGAAAGCCGAAAAAGTCTATACCTCCTGGAGCTGGACTCTACGCAATCGGAAGAAATGATAAAATACCTTGCCCGATACAACCTCCGGAAAAAGGCAAGACTGTTTACGTTTATTTCGGTCTTTTGAGGGGCATGTATTCTGTATCATATTTCATGGTTATGAGAATTACTTTATTTGCTATGTCTATGGGCTAATGAAAGCAGCTGGTAACCTATTAGCTCCTTATGGACCTTCTATGTTGAATGTACTTGTTTTTGATTACTTGTAGTAAGGATACTCCGCGAGCTCCCTCTGACTTTTTTCCTGGATCTCAACAAATCAGCCTCACCGATTATTTGTTTGGATCTTACTCGCTAACCACAAACAGGGACCTGCTTTATTCAACCAAAGTCCACAACTTTTGTTCCTCTGGATAGCTGCTGACCGCCCGTTTCTTGAATGCTCTTGACGACTGGCGCTGTGCTCAAACTTCTGGCAGAAGGTACTTGGGAAGCAAGAGGCAATGTTCATCTTCAGTACCTCAAATGCCTGCTAGGTCGGAACCGTCATTACACAATAGTGTAGCAGCCTGCCTGTTGATTAATATCGAACAAGTAATCAACCATTCCTCTGGAGTGTTGGCCAACAAACCCTACAGTTCTATTGGCTTTTGACCACCACCGTCTCAAAAGTATTACTGATGTCAGATGACATCAACGAATTCGTAATGAGCTGAATATAAAACAGGTCTTTGGTTGTTCAGCGGCTTCTTCAGTCGCGGAAAACCTACAGAACCACCTACTGCAGTGGTTGGTCTGCGATATGCATGTCGAATCATCGTATACTGAGGCGAATTTGTTCTCCGTGCCATGCGCAAACTGTGAGATGGACGTGTGACTTTTCAGAAGGGTATGAAAGCGGTCAGTGATAATTTGGTGGTTGTTATTGCTGTCTGCCCTCCAGGATGGTCTCCCCTTGCACCTGGCTGGAAACATTGCAAGAAATGACACTTAATCGGTGACACTGGTGTTAATGTTATCAGTTTCTTTCCAATCGGTCTGAATGAGTATTTCGAGGTATAGACTTCTCAGAATGCTTGCGGTAGGCTAATGACCCACCCTTTTATTTTTTCACCTTAGGGTCTTACATATAATTAACCAAACTGCGGCCTTGTGGATTTAGCTCGCCATATCTTGTCCCCAAATAAATAATGTGTAATAGGTGCTTGGGAGCGAATTAAACCCTGCAAAATGCTAGATAAATTTCACCAAGTTATGTTGTTTTGGAAGTAAAATGCACATGCCCGATCATTGTTTGCCATTGAGTGCACTGACCTCAACTCCAAGCCCGTTCTTGCGAGAAATCCCCGGGGAAAAACGGAATCACAGCCGGGATCTTCAGGCCTTTCTGGCCGGGATACGCTTGATTCTCCCTGTACTTCGAAGCGTCATAGAATGTGGCAAGTAGCTAATCCCAATGACGGTTATACTCTCATTTCGTAGCCGGATTGCCTAGCCAAGGTTTATCACGCGCTAGACCCCTTTCGAGTAAGGTTCGCAATTAATGCTGGATTAATCCAGCTACTAGTTTGTCATTCTGGTATAACGTCCAGGTTTGTTTAGTCCACTTGCTGGTTTTCCCCAGAACGTAGAATTTTCTGCACTAAGTCCGTATCCCGCGCCTTTGCCTCCTGTCCTTTATTCCTAGTTGTATAACACTTAGGCGCCAGTGCTTACTACTGTCGTTTTGCTTGTCTTGTATGGGTAGGTTAGGTTTTTGAAAGAGTTAGAGGATTCCCGTATCATTCTCACCCTACCCTGTTCCCGTACTAGGTGCAGATTGAACATGAAACTGATATTGCAGTATGGGTTGCCATGCCCTCTCACAAGAATGCTCCGCTCACGGATTCACATTCTTGGTCACCAATCAAATCGACTTCGAATGCCCCCTTGTTTGGACGTGATTTATTGTTCTACGCACCGGACCCCAGGGCGACCGCTGGATGGTCAGGGCGAGTGCTTCTGAAAAAGGGCGTCCAGGGTAAGATTAGATATATTGTAATTTGATTGGATGTTTTAACCCAATACTACTGTGCACAGCTTCTTCTTGAGGGTAAGAGGACTGTCCTCTCAAACTACGAAATCATACACCTACCTGTTACTAGTTTCTTTGGTCCTGGAAACTCTTTTTGGTAATTTTGGACTACTAAAGTCCAGACTACAGTCAACCTTGTGAACAATGAGCTATCTTCAGCATATCTTTGACCGGCGTTTGTGTAAGCTCTAACCAGCTTTTGAATAGACTATTTTTAGTGGGTCTTTCCGTAACGAAGACCTATGTGTGAAGAAAGCTCTACTCATTAAGTGGAGCTTTGGTTAAAATCTGTCACTTTGGGTTTGGACACACTTTTGGACTTTTAACTACGGTGTTGATAACTGCATATTTATCACCTGGCTACTGGGAGATAATATCACAGTTTTTACGAAATATCCTGATAAGAGGATGTCCCCCATATAGATCACTTTCCAGTGCGTCAAAGTGAAGGCCTTGCATACACTTTTATTCTAATTCATATTGATGTATATTTTCCAAAGATATGGGTTTAATTGTGCCATACGTTTTAAGTGAAACAGGTCCGATGCTTTGCGGACTATTCAGGAGAATTCACACTTACTTATTGGGTCCACGTTTTGATGATCCACGTTGTTTGGCCTGCATACTCCGTTTCTCGTTTTTGGCACGTAAGTTCCATATTGATGAGGTTCTAAGCCATTTTGGATGGTACCAGGGTTTACGACGAGGGGCGAGATGGCCGAAGTGGTTAGAGCGCGGATTACTAACCTGAAGGTCCGCGGTTCGAATCCGACCTCCGCCACTCGACTTCCCCTGTCTAGGCTTGGGCAACCTGGCAGTATCCCAGCCCTCGTGCTTCCTTCGGGTGGCATGGCAGCTAGGCACCGGAAGGGGTGCTACAGTGAACGCTTTACGACGGCTAAGTATATGGATGTCATCCTTTGGATGAATAGACTACTTCCGAGGGACAGTGACTGAGATAACAATGTCCAATGCTCTTCAACCTTATCAGTGTTTATCGCCGTCACCATTCCCACATTTTGTGTTGATCTTGTGAGTACCTACCATATTAGGCGCAGGTCTATCATTAAGCCATTCAAAAAGCTTCGTATTGTTGAAGGTTCATCATGGTTAGTGTGTGAGTGTGTTCTGAGGTTGTCCAACGCGAAATTTTGCAGAAAAAGACTTTCTGTGCATCGTTGCTCTGTAAGGTCTCAATTGAACGGATTCCATCGAATCGGCGTTTGCTGATTCTGGTGGCTCCGCACTAAAAAGCCGTGACCGACCAACCGTTACAACGACAAACACATGTCCTCATGGGCTACCTGTTTTTTGTTTCCGATCATGTCTTACAATCTTTTAGAACTCGGAAAATTATTTGTAGATCCTTGTATTCATAGTAATGTAAATGAAGCTCGATGTGCAGTTATCAAGTTTAATCCCTCATGGTCACCCCATATAGCAGGTGATTTAGGTCCAGAAAGGCAAAAAGTGACTAACCACATCGGCTGAGCTGCTAACAATTGCCGACGAAGTACGTCGCTAAATCACCGTGTGTGAGGTTATTATTAGCGTTCTTGCTCTAATTGCTTAGTTTCAGTAGAATGACATGCAAATTCAGCGATTTTGCTTTCGTCGATCCAATCTTTTGGCCAATGTATATAGCGCTCGAACCCCAGACTTGTACCCGATTGTAATTTATTTTTGACTTGTGCTAGGAGCACAACAAGAACTATTCGTTGATGAATGGATGATGGCTGTTGGTGACAAGGCATCACCGCTTGGGTAAGAAAAGATTCAAAAGCTCAGTGTTTTTAAATCCATGGTTTCCCATAGTCGGGTTAAACTGACTGTGCTGTGAGTGACTGTTTGGACAAATGTTTCAGGGTGATAATAAAATCCATTGTCTCCGCGTTTGCATGGATTACGATATGTTTACCAGTTACTTTTAATCCAGCATTCTAGCTTCAAACCCGTTGCTTTGCGAATGGATAGCTAATTAACCATCTCGTTAACCGATTCCTTTGTGGTTCATTGATCAGGGTGTAGCACCATATACCTGCTGTTTGATGTCGGTGGCGTTCTTGGTGTCAGCTATTATTCAAATTGTCCAAATGGATGTCTGGAGGTGTCACACCTCGGAATGCTTGCAGGAGACTGAAGTTCGGTTTCTTCTCCTTCCCCATTTACGCAGTAAGGTCTTTAAATAAACTGTGGATATACAGCAGTAAAGCACCAGTATTCGACACGGATGTTGTTCTGTTAATGGTGATGCAATTTATATGGCTACTTTATCGACTTGGGTCCGTTTTTCATCGGTTTCTTTTAATTTGTGGGGTTTTAGCGCTCCTGGTGTTCCCTTTCCCCTCAGTCGCTTGCGAGCTAATTTTCGTCACAGTAAAATTCTTTTTCTAGCGGACTCCTTATTTATGGGCACCACTGTGAGCCCTCTGGACATCGATCTGTATCACCGGGCTCGTTGGAGGTTGGGATTGCCAGAAGGTTCCACTGAGTTGATACTCGGAGAGACATTACCCCTAGAAGCCAATGGAGACCTAAGCGGTGCTGTCAGTTTTTCCAAAGGATGTTACATTGGTCAAGAACTGACGACACGCACTCGGTTTACAGGAGTTGTACGACGTCGATATGTCCCTGTTCGGTTGGTGCTTTCAGATTCTACTGTCGATCCTAAGCTGCCTGTTGGTTGGTAAGTTTTGTCAACATATGTAATTACTTTCTGAAACAGCCGTATCCTGTTTGATGTTGATACCCATGGGCACGTGTAATAATCGGCTTCGCCCCGTGGGATAGAAATCCTTCAAATATTCTCTTGGCATACTTGTGTTCCCGGTATTTAGACTGCATAACTTCGTTAGGAAAGCAGCGATCGGTAGTGTGAGGAGCCTTCGTTCATTCCGTTCTACTTTGTTGGTCATGGCAGTATGTCATTTCACCGTAGTTATCTTAACACTAAAAGGGTTGGTCTGTCCATGTGAGACGTACTCCTGATAGTGTTCAAACATGCGTTAGGGAACTCAGACCCTCTACTTGGAGTTATAGGGTGGACAGTGCGTACTCGGACTCTTCGAAATATAATGATCAGTCCAGGAATAATAGACACCCAACCGGTCTCAAGTTTCTTTGGCTTGAAGTAATTGGAAACTCTGGAGTGCGCCTCTAACACGTTAAAGTACAAAATAAACAGGAGGTTCAAAACACCTTTTGAGCAGCCTGTGAACATGATTCCAGTTTAAGATGTTTCCTAAACAAGTTTAAACAGGGCTTTTCTTGGATCCCAATGCCCATAATTTGCCTATGGCAGCGCCTTTTGTCAGACGAAAGTACCTACGCGCGCATCTAGTTTTATGAACCAGACAATGGACTTGGTCAGATAGCGGATCAACGTTTGCTGCATTCTAACTGGTTCAGGGATGCAGGATGGCGTATGACCAACTAGTGAGCTTAATGTTCCAAAATTGTCGTTGGCGGCGTTACCGCTGGTCCGTGTAGAAGGTCGGAGTAACTGAGAGCTATCATTGGTACGAAAGCAAAGCGGGCGACCGATGCTTGTCCTGATTAAAGTTGAGTGGGAAGAGGTTGGCATTATTACTCCGATGTACGGCATCAGCAAAGCTAATAAGCTATGTGGTGAACTGCAGAGAGCGGCAAGGATGTTTTGGGAGTGGCCGTAGGATTGAAAACGAGTGGAAAAGACGATCCTTGGAGTTCACATAACGGGTCCGTTCCGGGAATCTGAAGGTGGATTACGGCGCGCGAAAGTAGTGCACTGATCGTCGACTTCTTTACGCGGAAAAATCATGGCGATCGTTGGTTATATCCGTTTACTGAATTCAGAACTAAAGATGGTTGGCTTTTTAGATTTAAAAATCGATATAGAAACTAGCATAACCTTTATCTTGGACGAAACCACCTTGTACTGGGTGGAGCACGTCCCATGGTTTGTTGTCCCAAAAAAGCCTTTTTGCTAGGATGCGATTTTCATCTGACAGGAACAGATTAGAGGTCGTTCGCTGCTTCTGACTGTAGAGAGGAGCGGTTAAACAAATAAATAACAACTTGATACTCAGTTGTCTTTGATTCCGGTCCTTGTACTAGTAATGATGTGTTTTTCCTATGCGCTGTCTCTAAGGCGGACATGTTTTTGTGTCGAAGAGCCATGAAAATAAAGTGCTTTTACTCCGATTATGTTGTCATCCGCAAACGAATTATTTCATAGGTATTTCAACAAATTTTTATAACTTGCATAATATTCCAACTCGAATAACATATTTCCGCGTACGACAGTTACAGGGCAGCTTTTCGGACCGTTTGAGTTCACCATTGAGTCACTCCTCCAACATTTCAAACGCCACCTGTAATCTTATAATGGCCACCTTTTAACTGCGTTAGGGAGCTCACTCTTCCTTTAACCACATTTTCTATTCATTTTCAGTCACCCCGTCAATGCGTCCATTTACCGACTTTCTTCGGTTGAAAACGATTTACAAAACCCAAAGGCCAGACCCGTTGGTTGGTTACGTTCATTCATTACGGAAAACAACCCGTGCTCGGCGATGGACGGTTTCGCTTTACTCCGTCTAACAGAAGTCTCCACTAACACACCCCTGGTAGCGGTCTCGCTTGAAAATTCGGACAAGGAAATGTTCAGATTACTTGTGACTCCCTATGCTCCCTCATGGTGGGCACAAGAAATTGCACCTGACTTTGAGAGATGTTAACTGTGATTCATGATGGCGTTTCCATTCTCATTCGGACAACAGTCCGGTGTGATGTGTATGCAATGCAACTTCAAAAATACAGTCCAACGGCTTTCGTCCAAATATTTTCAGTTCAAAATGCGTTCAGCTGGTCACTGATACTCTCTGTTGCTTACGCAGCGCTCAGATAGGAGGAAAGGTCACTAGACAATGTCGATCTACTCAATAGGATTTAGGCAATACCGAAAGGACGGTAGGGAAGCATCATTGTTTAGCTGTTGATGATGAAACGACTGTGATATCTCGAATACCGTGTCAACTGCAATGTGGGGCGTTCATTTGAAAATAACGTGATTAAAAGCCAAATTCGTTTGTAGATGAGCACTTGGCAGATGCTGAAAGAACTTGGTGGTCAAAGCAAACGAATTGAAGTATGCTGTCTTTGAGTGAAACAGGACAGGATAATCGGATGATTGCCGAAAAGACTAGCTGAACTGTCACAGGATGAGCCTTCTGCCGGCGCAACCTGAACGCTTCTAAATGAAAGGAAATCCTCAAAATCAACGTTCCTACACTACAGTTGGGTCATTTTTCCGTACCCCTTTGGGGCACTTCCACATTTAGTACCCTATTAGGTAGGCATCTACTGAGAAATGGTTCTGAAATTCGGGGTCACCTATGCAGAGAACAAATGTACCTGCATGTTACAGATTCAGTATGGAAGCTCGTTGATAATTTCGGGCGGTCTTTATCAGGGAACAGCCAAGCAGGTTGTCCAGGGTAAAGCCAAGCTAAAGTCCACTCCATCATTACTTTTATTATGGTGTTCCACTTTTGCCGCTAAATGACAAGACGTTCATTGGTGTTATGCATCCTTTCTTGAATTCTATGGTACTAAGTTAAGTTCGGCACACGAAGCCCATCGTAACTTGTGAGGACTGAAAATAAAAGCAGTCTTCGTACAAGCAGATAGCTTCAAGCGAAAACGGATGCCGACTTCTTAAAGCGCTTTATGAAAAAGGTGTACTCCACATGAAAAAAATAACAAAATGCATGAAAAATATTTACTCGGATGCAGTATCCCACACAAAGGAGAGCCAAATTGTTTTTTATTTACCAGCTTCTTATTACACGTTCTTTTCAAACAATGCTGTCGAAGTAAAAAGTTCAGAAACATCTGTGTTCGTCATAATATGCTTTCGTCTCATCTCTCAAATGAGGTGATTTATCACAAAAGTCGAGTGGTCCTATGGTTAGTCCGCTTCCCAACATGACCGATACGGTATTGCATTGCTTTTGTGTAGTTTGACACTGATTTAAACGAGTGTGGAATTCATCGTTTGAAACATCTTCCAAATGAGCGTCCAATTCACTTTTGAGACACAGATCTACCTTACCCTTGTCTACTATATATTACGCGATGCATCCGACTTCATGTGTCGCCCTTTTTGCTACGCAACGGTGAACTGGTGCCCAACATTTGCATTGTTGTCAGCGATGAATAACTATGTACTACAATCCCTCAGTCCTGAATAGTAGTGTAGCTCATATTGAAGACTTCGGAAATTAAGTTTTTATTGGTTTTACAAACGTTGGATGTTCAAATAAATCCACCCGGTCCGCCAGGATCGCATCTTCCAACTAGCGTTGGGACTGGTTTTATACGATTAGTGGTAATTGACTTATACTCCAGACTCTTGTGATGCCTTCAGGTTCTTGGCAAAGTTCAGCTGTTGAACTGACAAGTTGGTTTGCATCTAAATATAGGTGAACAAAAATAAAAAGCACCTTAAGGGCGGTGTTAGTGAACAAGGGTATTCTTTACAGCAGACCTATAAAATCAAGGTGGTGCTGCTGGTTTCTGTTTCATAAAAATCTGCGCACTGTGATGTGATGCTGGAGCTTAGAACAGCAGTTTTTCATTGCATACAGTTTGAAGATGTCCTGAATTGGGGTTGAAAAAGTATTGTTTTGTTGCACTTTGGGACGGCCTTCGACTTGTGATTATTCCATCCAGATCGGCTGGTTTTTCTTATTGTGCGTGATATTTGTAGATTTGATGAGGCGGCGTTTAAGCCCGCTGCAATGCCTTCCTCAGGATTGGTCATAACCGCGCTGTTGTTGATGGCGCACGCTTTGACCAGAGCCTTTATAGATTTTTCGTATACTATTTAGGTGAATGTGGTACTAGTGTGATGGAGAATTCACAAGGTACTTTTCTACTCATTTACCGAGTCACACTGTATACTGTCACCTAGTGGAACAAGTAACAAAAACATTGAATCGTCCATGTGACACCCTGATCGCTGAGCGATCCAACAGCACGTGTATGGCTACAGCAATCTTAATTGTATGCGGTTTGTTATGTGATAAGCGAGGAACCCTACATCACAACTTACACTTGATCTACATAATGAATCGTCGACAATAAACTTGAATAGAAGAGGAAATTCGGACAACCCTACCGAACTTCGCTGGAGTACAAAGGCGGATACCGCGTCTCACTATGATCCTTGACTTTAGTCACCGTCTCACGATGGGCGTTACTTCATACTTGTCAAGTGCATCGAACCACGGCAAACATTCCCGTAATCTGGCCTAATCAATGGATCCCAAGTCTAGATGAAATTTGCGCTGCTTATTTGCTGGCAGGCGTGATGTTATTCCACCATCTGTCGGAGCTTTTACAGATGCACATCAGCTCGGCTTCTAATCCACCTTGTACTTCGCCTGCGTGACAGATTTCGAATAGCAGTTTCGGAGAAGTGGAGATGAACGGATTGATAACATACACCCTGTTAGTCCTAGAAAATTTGGACGAAATTGGACTACTTCCAAGGAAGAATTTGCCTGTCCTAAAAACGCTGTTCGACCCTTATTCGCATACAGTCAGTGGGATTTCAGCGAGGACTTGTACTCTGAAGTCTTCCGATATACTGAATTCTCAGATTACCTTAGCTACCAATCCCACAGAAAGTGTACAAGCGGGGGAGTTCGCTGTGTAGTAAGGTGACAAGGACGAACTGGACAACGAGACTGACAGAATGTGTTCGGCCCAGCATATTCGAAGGTACATGTGGATATATAATCGACTGTCAAACGGCTCCGTTAACTTCCTTCTACATGGCATCAGTTTTGCGTGCAAGCTGAAGTAGGTTGTGGAATTTGAGGACTGCCGCGTAACTTCCAGTTCTGATGCAGGCGCAAACTACAACACCTCATGGTCTTACTGTCGTTCTAATCTCATGGTCTGCTACTAAATATTCACCTCTGAACAAATTGTCGATAGGGCATTCTATTCGTAGATCGAGTAACCGGAGAGAAATGGCAAGTATCCTGACCGCACCTGGCTAACTGGCGGGAGCGTCACAGGTTTCAACAGTGCATAGTCAAACTTTAGCTGGGCAGGACTAAATTAGCAGAGGTTATACTGGCACGCTGGATCGCAAAGTTTTTTTCATATCCAGCTTGGGAATGATCGGTCTTGTGCGTTATGCACTTCTGTACACAAGACCGCTTGATCGTGGACACTATCTCGTTGTTTCTAGCTAAAATCAATGCGGTTGACTCGCATCTATTCTCCTATTGATGACAAACGATGGGGGTGGCGATTCGAGGTATCCTGTACCTGTGACAATCACTCCAGATTAAAAGTACTACCCGGAAAGCCTGTCTCTATTGTACGATTGGACAGTTCTCGAGGGATTGACCTTCCGAACGAACCTCTTCATGGACCAAGCAAGCATGCGTAGTTCTAATCACTGCCGAGGTGTCAAATGTGGAGCACAATAAGGTATATGGACATTAGGAGGGCTCGTCGCCCGCTGTTTTGCGGTGCATAGGTCTTGTTCTGCACGAACTCTCACGCTGGCAACAAATTACTGAGCGACTGAGACTCTGCACGACAAGACAGCTTCAGCTCGTTCACTCGATCCATCGCTGTGGTTGTGGGATCCCCGGAAAATCCCAAATTCGGCCTCGAGATTGGGTACATAAACCAAACGATTGGTCTTGCTATCATCGTACAACCGGGTATTTGAGAGAGCGTACGTCAGTTAAGATTCGCGTCTATTGAATAGTTGAGATGGAGAGGACGCGGTAGAAGGAACAGAACAACAGATATGACATACTAAGAATAATTCACAAGTTTATGAAGCTTCAAATCGGTGAGGCTCGGTTGTGAACTAGAAGATAACAGGTAGTGACGTTACATCCACGAGGTCGAGAGATTTGGGGCAGAAATTTGTGGGATACGAAAATGGTGCATCCATAGAAAGTTCACTCCTACTTCAGTTCGTAGTAATAACAGAACATATGATTGAGGTTCGGGCGCGTCCTACGTGGTCAATATGATGAAATAATTAAAACTGATATCTTGACCACCCACTTTGAACTGTGTTGCCATCTGGATGGTAAGCTAAAGATAGTACAGACGTGTAACACTGGTCTGTGACTGGTCCAGTACACGCCATTGAGATCCGAACTAGATATTTATTCGTTCAAACATCCCTTGAGACCGCAGCGCCGCGGTCACTACAGTCGGCCCATATTCCCGCTGGAGCTAATCTCAGTTGTCGTGCGAAGCGAAGTTGTCTACGTCTAGGTGGTCCTAAATCACTGAAGCAGGGACATGCATTTGTATACCAGCAGACCATCCCGACCAATATCGAAGCTACTGTTGAAGTATTAGAACGACTTTCAAGTGAAGACGCGACTGACCGCGGTCACGAGGTGAGCCTTGCAAACCATCTACAACGTGATCTTCCAACATTAAAATATCTCCGAATCTTGACAACAACTGACCCCGTTGCAAGTCCCTTGCACCATCGGGTTTTGTACGTGGTCCTAGTTTACCGCGGCCAAGCTTAAAAAATTCCCATTAGACGGACTGACAGTACGCTGACCACCAGCTGGCCCGGGATAAAACAATGAGTGCGATATGAGTTGATCCCTTGCTTACTAATTATGTTAAATTGGTAAACTTCCCTACCATTGTGTTCTTGTTTTCTTTTCTTTTTTTTTTTGGGGGGGGGGGGGGAGGCGACCTAGCATCTAGTATATATGAAAAATAAGTATTTTGCCGTAATTTTTTGCCTCCCTGTTATAGGTGGGCTAGCGCTGTTACTTCGATGCTATTAGTTGTGACGTTCATGTTTTACTTGATAACTTAGGTTATCAAGCCAATTTACTCTAAAAATGTGGCAGGTATACCCCAGTATATATTTCTTCCGCGACCCGACCAGTAGTTCAGCAGAGAGAGGTGTAGGACCGTGGTGTTGATTTTATTACAAAACAAGCCGAAGAAAGACGGATTACGGTGCACAGCGTGTTTGGGGAAGTTGGAGCGCCGTGAGCATAGGAAAAGGGGTTGGGGGGGGGGGGGGGGAGGGGGTGGGGGGACAATACCAGCACTTCATCAGCTTCTTGCCAATGAGCTATAAGCGTGCCCTGGTCAAAGGGTTGAACCAACGATACACTTTAACCTGAGCTCAGGTACCTTAGACATACTCTCAAGTCTCTGAGCTATTCCGCAGTGTTCAATAAGGAACACAGTGTGCAGACTCATGCTGGAGAGCGCCAGCACTGTAACCAAACATATCCTCACTAAATCTTCATTCAAACGAGAGAACGTTAGCTGGACCATACAACCTCGCCTGGCAACTGCAACGCAAAGGACCTACTCCGCAGCTGGACCTGTCACTTTTCACAAGGCAAATTGTGTTCCAATGCTATCGGTCAAATAGTCATTAACACCGTCCGCCAATTCCAACGTTAACTGCCGATTCGCATTTGGGTGCACGGTAAGCTACTCTGGCAGAACAGAACTCAATCACAACTGAGGGTGAGGGAATACATACCGATTAGGGTGCGTTGACGGCTGGACGGATCAGATGTGCCAGCACAAGCCAAAGAGTATCACATCCTACACAGCCGGCCCCATTACTTGCCAGGCCTCCGATTGAAAACAAGCATCGCACCAATCCAGTGACTGAAGCTGACGTAGTATTCAACACAGTAAACCACAGTGTTCTAAAATTTGCTGAAGGCATTGCTCTTCTCCACCGGAAGCCGAATAGGAGTAAACGGATACGGCTTTTGGTATTGCTGGCAAGCCTCTGGTATGCTAGTTTTTCCTTCTGAATTAATTTATTTTATTAGCATGCACCTGATGAGCCAGCTAAGTAAATGCGAAATATCGTACAAAGCTGCACTGCTGTGTCCCATCTTCATGTTCTCACATGTGTTACTAACAATCATGATGAACTCATGACCATGTTACATTGGAATATATTAGTTTCACAATCCAAGTTTTTTCCCCTGGGATGCACAACCTCGGGGCCTTCAAACCAACATTCTTTGCTCTTGCAGGCACACTTTGTTTGAGTGCTCGCATTTGGGGCTGGGCAGCGCTAAAGAAGCTGAGGACAAAAGAGCGATATTTTATAACTAACTGCGCACCCCAGAACAGAGTTCCCCATCGTAAGATACTTTCGACCAGTCATGGTGGGAAGGAAAACAAAACACAGTAGGCAGGCAGCTGTTTCAGTACCGTCTACTTCTATAGGAAGGCAGTAAGCGAATACCGGAAACTTCCATGCTTTAGACAATCCGTCCTATATCACCGTGTAAGTGGCCATCTGTTTGCAGAATTCAGGAGGGCTTTCACTTCTTAACCAGTGAAGTCCCCCGTACTGTAGGATGTGTGTGGTTTATTTTACAATAAAACTACTTTTTTTGATATGTTCCTGTTCACAACAGTACGTGAATCGTTGGACTCGAGTTGGGAACACCAAAGCGCGAAGGGGGAGAAATGCAGCTTTCAGAACTTTCGCCACTTTACTGTTGGGCAGAAGCGACATAGTGGTTAGCAACTTACCAAGATACCTAAAGGCCGCAAGTTTTCAGTCGAGTGTAAATCAGCCCGTCGGTCTGTCGTGGCAAACATTATCCAATGGTGATTTGGCTCCACGATGTACTGTCTGACTCACCTTTATTGCGTTTAAAGTATCACCGTCTGCCCTGTGGCCTCGTTGGTCCCCCTGTGCGTTGACATTCTTGGTATAGTCAGTCTTCCATGTTCGCCACATCAGTATCTGGATGAAGAAAAGAGGGAGCCGCAGAGTTGTGCGTTGATATTTCAACGTATAATTACGTTTAACCGCCCCAAGGCAAGTTGCGGTTAAACGTCAAGGTTCACAGACGTGCAGCTGACAAGTGAAGAGTCATAATAAACGCGCCTAATTTTGTCAACACGTCGTATTATTGTCGTTGATTTACTGAGTGAATTCAGTGAGGGTGAGAACTCCTAACAAGGTCAGGCTTGAGGTTATAAATCCAGTAGGGGCTAGGTTCCACCTGAATGTCAGTAGCCCTCAACTAACAGATGGTCATGAGAAAACACTCTGGTAGGGATTGGAAAAAAAAGGGAAGGACCAGTGGGACCGTCTGTTCTCTATGTTATTCAGAATAGTCACCGAGTTGTAAGGATGACCAAGTGAACCCTGTATAGGAAGACACGAAGACTTCCTAGCGTCCACTTTGACGGTGACTGTTCTTACTTCGCGTTATCAATTCTAGGCCAGCTGCAACGTTCTAGCATAGGTCAACCGTCTCAACGAGCTTCCATCCATCTTCTACACTCTGATGTGTTGGAAACAGAGCAGTTGGCACTGTTGCCTCGGTTGTGTACTTACTCAAGAAGGTTATAGTTATAGGTCAAACCCACGGAGACACGACATCGCACTACATACTAACGTAACTAACTACACTGGAATCAAGTTCATCCCAGGGCGGACTAAATTTTCTCATCCACCTACTGTTCACTGTTTCACGTTGAATGCGCTTTATGACTTCTGAATTTACACGATACGGAATCGTTGGAAAATCTCCCTTCGAATTCCACTGCTGTGTTGTGTAGTATGATGAGTTTCTTCCCCACAGGTTGCACATCCAGCGATATGAAATTTCACGATTGTCACCCACCGTTTTCAATAGGTCGCTGGAAAGATATTCTATTTACTCTCAGTGGAATCCTTCAAGTCTTTTGAGCGACAGACTCAGTTATTGGTTGATGTCCCTCGAAATGCTCACTAGCGTTCATTCACACATAAGAGTATGTGCAAGCAAAAGAAATTACTTTCCCCATCTGGTTCGCCTTCTAGAATCCGATGTATCGTTTGGAGCTGTATGTGTATGTGCGTAGATCACGCTTCATCGAAACTTACAAGTTTGCTCTTCATATGCTGAGACCTATTCTGTAGTATGCATCTAATTCTGGACAAACACTTTGTCTAAACATTAGTCAGGAATGGAGAATCAGAAGAGACCCCCATCTTGTGCTGTCTTGTCTTGGTTGACCCCAGTTGTATGGAAAGTTCTTGTTCCTAAAAATGCATGGTCAAGCCAGTTTAGATACATATGAAAAACTATCCACGAATAGCCCTGATTGAGGCTCATAGAGCCATGCAGGTCCAAGACGCTTCAATTCACGGAGAAATGGGGCAGATTTGAGTCGAGAAACCACGGCGGGTCTAGTGAAACACAGACCAGATCAACTGCTGTTAACTGAGCTGAATTCAGACTCTTTGTTTTAATTAACCTTCGGATATTGTCTTATTTTATCTTACAAACGGATGGTCTCTTGGACCGTGCTTTTTGTATTGACTGGACCATGATCCCCACATTGTCTGCCACAATAGTCTCCTCCCTGTCTCAGGCCCCATGGCTCAACAAACCGGCCTATGCACTGTCTGGCTTGAGGCGGTTTTCATCCGTATCATAATCGGAATCCAAAGGAACGCGCAGCCTCGTATCAATGAGATGAAGGTGCTGTTTCTGAAATCACCCTGTTGTTCCGAACGCATCCAAAGACAACACATACGAGTCAGCTTTTCTCGGTAGTCATCGATATCTGCTAGTAAGGTAAGGGTTGCAGTATCACGTTTGGCCAACCTGTGATTCATACTTTCCGACTGGTTATTGGCCAGCTTGTTTCCTAGGTCGAACTCAACGAATCTACACCGAGCAACTTCGTGATCTGGGTCAACTTATGTATTGCAGGATGACTGGCAGTCAAAAACAGGACCTTTTGAATGCTAGCTGGCCATGTAATTGCCGAGTGGTGCAGGGAAGTCATGTGGCCTGAACCGGGTACAACGTTGCTATATAGGTTCAACGTCACCAGTTCGTTTGAAGAGATCGTACAAACAGGTCGCACAATAAAAGGATTAAGGTGTTCTATTTTTTATAAGCCCTTTGGAGCAGTGCGCAGGTGCGCTCAGTTAAGACAATGGACGTTTTTAACCTATGGTAATCTACGACAAAGCTTATTGCATGTGTCTGTCCCACAAACTGCTGATAGCAGGAATTCAGTGTAGGGCCAGTAATCAATAGTCCACAGGTATCCGAATAGACAGGAAAATGTATATGGTGTAAATAGGCAAATGAAATGCCACAAAGTGAGCATCTTGACTAACGCATCCCTATATGATCGCACGTTAAGCCCTCACCTTCGTACGGGCATTTTTTCCTAATACCAGCAAGTTACCCAAAAACTCAACTACACTGATCAGCCACACTCAGACCAAAGTAGGCAACACGTCACTTCGTAATTCCCAGATTGGGCCTAGTCGAAGATTCTCAAGATGTACGATGTTCGTGAAAAGAAGTTCATGGGAGCAAATTACTCTCTCCAACAAATAATCAACGTTCATCAACCCAGTCAAGCGATAATTTAGTTGAATGAAAAATAATTATAGCACTCCCTCTAGTTACTGGTTGAAACGATTATTTCTCCTTGTTCATTTATTTGAATTATTTGTCCGTTCTTCCTGATGCCGATTATTTATGTGTGCATCCAGAGGATGGTCTTCTCGCATAGAGTCCCTTAATTCCATTTACTAGTCCGACATTGACGTGGTATCAGATTTCCAGTCCTCTGTTTTTCACATCCTTCAACGCAACAAAGTTTATCTCAGAATTCGCTTGTCATCACAACTTGTTAGGAGATTGATCAGAAGCGATAGGCAACCACTTATCAGTTTCGGTCCCTTGGAGACAGGCATGTTCTCAGGAACGAGACAAATAGATAGCTAAGCAGCTCCTCTAAAGTATTATCCGTTCTTAACAAGTATTTCACGAATATTGCAAGTTATTTTTCACTGGCTCAGCTATTTTCGCTATTTGCTGAGCCCTGGCATGATACTGCAATTTTAAGCATAGAGAGAACATGGTCGTGCATTCTGCGGAGGTCGTAAATCCTTGAGATGATCCAACCGGTAGTTTTTGTATGCTCCACAATTATGGATCTGTCATCCTCGCTAGATTCCGAATACTCCGATAGCTGAAGCCAAGTAGAGGGCAAAATTATGGTCTTCTCCATGTGTACACATCAAACTGCTTCCATTGGGATAAAATATCGCCAGAAGAATCACACAGTATGTTGTGGTTGGTGAGATCTTCTGACTGCATTGTTCAGTACCTTACATGTTGGATCCAGGACAACGCGTGTATTTGCCCTTAGGCTAGAGTACCCAATCCTTTTGCTGGGCATCTTCAAGTTGCCAGTTCCCCTTCTTGACAGGTCATTTGCTTTTTGTCCCATCCATATGGACATAAAACATGAGTGTATGTTTGCCGACTACGAAAATACTTTTTGCTTGACCGTACAGGATCATTGCTGTGGACAACTAGATGGTCCCTTAGTAACGGACAAATAAATTCCTGTTCCAGAGATCAAATTTAGAATGAAACTACTGCAATTTAAATGGGTCCGTTGTTGACTACTTTTCGTGTTACCCCCCAAATGCCACTGCTAAATTTTCTCAATGGAAAGACAACTTTGCTTCTTCTCTATTTCCTCCAACTTCAACTCGCCTAATTTGAGTCCACCTGGTTGTCTGAGACCAGCACACGTACCATTCAAAATGTTTACGGGAGTTTCTCAATTCTGTGAATTACTCGCTGCACGTCGTCCGAGACCGCTTTAGGAAAGCGCCATTTCCCTAACGTTCTTGTCCCTTTCCACTGGCCGAGATTTCTCTCCTCGGAGGCAAAGTTGTTTTTCACACAGTGTTGGTGTGTACGGCGTCGGAAGTCAGAACACAATACTAGAGCGCCTTTATGTTATGGTCTTGTCTTGTAAGAGGGCATGAGGCGATTGCTCACTTGTTTCTGGGGTATGATCAACAGGGGATCGATAGCTCAAGTAACTTCACTCAACCGGTATGCAAATCATAGGTCACAGGAATAAGCACCATGTGTAGTGAATAAAAATCAACCCAAACATCTGCTCACCTGCTCAGAAGTGACAGGTAGGGAGGAGTGCAGCGGGAAAAAATGCGTCAATTTGTTCATCGGGTTGCCGGATTGTAACGTTTGGTATACACATATCGGATGAACACTACCTCAAGGCCGTTGTGTGCCGTTTGAATCGTTCTTGCCCGTATCCATCAGATATGGGTAATACGAACCCGATTCTGATTACAAACACATCATTTCTGAGAAACTGCATCGTGAGAGGCGGTTTTCGGAAATACTCGGTGTGCACCGTGTGCTTGGTACCGCTCACGACAAGATCGATACGCCAATCAGCCTGCATCTGAAACCCTAACTTTTCCTTCCTACTTTGTCTTTATAGGGTGCTAAAGGGATCAATGTAAAGTTACTGACCTAAGCACTTGAAAGGGTGGCAAATACCTTGAGGTACCTTAACAGCACACCAAGAAATAGTCCGAATCCTGTCAAGATTTTCTATTTCTGCACTCTCATTGGCAACTTCAAACACGAAAACCAAAATCACAATTGTTTTTTAAAAGAGACATCAATGTTCAGTGCGTCCGGGCAGCCGCACCTTATGGTTCGGACTATTGGATACAGCGATTAGAGTACTACCTGAATATACAGGGTACGCATGGATTGTGTAATATACGAGAACAAGTGTGAATATGTACGAAAGTATTTATATACGAAAGTATACATATACGAAAGTATATATATACGAAAGTATAAAGCTCAGCGAGCAATTTGGATATCAACTTTAAACGCGTTTTTGACGCATAGGCTTGTATATATTTGTACATATAATATACAGACTATATATATGGATTTTTTGGCAGCCTGATCAGAAAATGCTTGACAGATAAGGTTTGCTTGGGTATCAGAACACTTCTAGATCCCTGATTCACGTCTTCAGATTGTCCTTCACATAGGAAACTTTCCCCACCAATCTCGCATCCAAACTACTGAATAAATAAATCCACACAGCATCTCATGTCTGAATGGGGGTTAAAACGACCTGTTCTGTTGGATTACAACTTTGTCACACACCACTGATAAACCACACAACGACAAGAAAGGACTGACTTCACAGCTAGACATCAACTACAGCAGCTTTGACCGCAATCAAACTAGTTCGTGAACCACGAGTTGAGACGTGTATTACCTAGAGCGCAACTGCTGAACATTGCTGACCAACTGTGCTGTTTGACCTGTCAAAATCACATCCAGCGCGCAGACATATCCAGGGGCTGAGCCTGCCCATCTGGGTACACACTGGGGATCGTGTTTACAGCTGCTTTCTCACTGCAGCCCTATCTTTGTAACAGTCCTTCTTGTTATGACTGTATTCTTGATACAATCGAATTGCAAAAGACATGCTTGTTTACTGAGATGCCTCAGCGTAGTTTCAAGAGAAATCATTCATGCCCTGGGTATTGACGAACTCGTAAAAGCTAGGGTGTAATATGTAACACTGTGCGCGTTACTGGTTATCTATCTATTTATCCGTACCTACGTTTCCCTAGGGTGCCAAGTCCTTATTCGTATATGAACAAAAAGTATCCCAAATTGTGTTATCGGTACCCGTTGGTCTTTATTACTCACACGTATAAAAGTTGGATTCCATGGAAGATGAGGGACGGGCGCTGTCTCGGAGATTGTCCTTGTACTAAAACCTAGAAAGTCGTGCATGGAGCGGAAAGTTGGTCGAGCTGTAGAGCGGACCGTCATGAAGGAAAAGAAAAATAGTACCGCAACATCGATCAAAAGGTCGACCTACCCTTTGCTTCAACAGTCGTGCTCGACAAAACGTCCCGCCTTTTGTCAGCTAAAGAACGATGGGGAGCCATGTTTAACAAAACAGTGGCTGCACGACTTGTGGCGGCCAGACGGCCTGAAGCCAGTAGGTTTGCGACTACAGTGGTTCTGTTTGACAAGGATGATGGTACTGTAGCAGGTGGAAGGGACACATTAGTCTGGATCACTGTTTGTTCACTTGGTCCAGCAACCGCAGTTTGACCGGTGGATGACAAATTACCTAACGATCCACAGAGCGGAACAGGTTGGTCGAACGAGATGGAAGCCGACGAATTGGGTCGAACGAGGATGCTGTGGTCGTCCACCGAACCGAATGGGGAATAAGTGGGTGATGCCTGTTGTGACCGGCTGGTGATTTCGCTTTTGCTATTTATTGGCAATAAACTTTGCAAGGATTCTGAACACTTCGCGGTTGCTCTCATGCAGTCTGTAGCTTTGCGCACGTTTTTGAGGCGCAACATGACTAACTCAAGGCGTCTTTTGCGTTCTTCTCTTTCAGCAATTTCTTGCTTGCTGAAGGTCGTGATTACTTGTACATCAGGCTCCACCGTGTTGTTTGGAGGATCCGGAAGCTTCATCTTGAAACAGACGGAATACATTAAAAGCCGAAAAGAGGTTAAGATAAATACTGTTGACGATAGTATCGCTACGTATCGAAAATCTGCTCAGAGGCACTGGACAGTGCACGCACTTTCAGCATCCCAACTACTGCCGTCTATGCTTGCCTAATGAGTCCGAATAAACACTAAAGCGCTCGTATCGCCTAGATTTCCGAGATCAGACCTTCGTTTTGTTAGAAAATTCAGTGAAATTCAAGTCCATAGCTTGGTAGTTATCCGGTCCGCAAGTATGGCTGTTAAGCTAAATCATTCTGAATTGTCAGTATTCAGCTGATTATGTAGACGGGCGATCAATCGATTCAAGTAAATTTCTACGCTTACCATCAATATTCTTAGCTCATTCTAGAGGATATTACTTTTCCAATTCCATACCAATGCTTTCGAATTTGTAAAAACGGCGCATTGTTTGCACATTTGATAAATATTAGGCTGTAACCAATTCGATCCACGACTGCTGTGAACCATTTGATTATTGTCCCCAAGCAAGGTCACTACGGGGGAGGACGTACAACTCTTATTGGGAACATCCGCTCATTAAGAGAATCGCCTAGTAAACTGCAGCTGCCTCTAAATGGGGTTATGAACTCCTCAAGGGAGCAACCTCTCTTCAAGGTCTCCAAAGGATCTAACCTTGTGAATAAATTGCAAGTCACCAATAATGTACGTGGATCTCTTAGTTTTGCGCCGCAGCAGATGTCGACACTCGTTGCATAATCAGTCGCTGTACAAAACTTTGAATGAGCAGGAAGAACCGGAGTCGGCGCAAATATGTGAATGCTGGCAACTTGTGTTCATTATCTAGCTCGACATAATAAAAAATAGAGATGGTCTGTTCCATCGATAAATTGAAACAGCCTTCGTCAAGAGAGTAATGAAACATATTCCTAATCTTACATTGTTTACATCGAGTCGACAATTTGGAGACTTTCATATCTGCACAGCGCTGCACGACTGAGACAACAACTTGCAGGAAGCCTCGTAAAGTTTAATAAAGTTAGTTCCATCGCCGTTTGTTTTGACCATTTGTTGTATTATACAGAAGGTGTACGTAGAGAAGTCCTTCCGTTACATTGAGACCAGTATACAGCTCAGAAAAATGTTAATGTTCGACCAATATTGACTGACTATTTAACATCGTTTTTGAAGAGATCATCGAGTGAGTTCGGTTGATCATTTACCTCTGTATATTCAGAGGTTTGTCGAAACCAAGGTTTAGCTAGCCCCGGGTTGGCCTCATATCAGATCGACATCTCTACAAATGCGCAAGATTGATTCATATAGTCCATTATCCATGCGGCGTAAATTCTCCTTTGAATGAGATAACTGATTATTTCGCAGGGTCCGCAACTAAAGACAGGCTTTAATAGCGGTCTTTCTTCAGACGAAAAGCCATGCTTGATAAACTGAAAGTTATCTCTGTTCTAGAAAAAACGGTCGTTCTGTTTGCTCCACTGGCTGCTTCGCACTTTTACAGATAATCGAATCTCAACGAAACGACTGCATTCGTTACTCATGCAACGAAATATGTTTGCGCGTTCGGTTATTCTCAACAACGCATCTCTTGGGGATCATTTTTTCGGCCGAATGCAATGTGATCGAAAGGGCGATGTCCTCGTTGAAAGTGGTTGATGCCCAGAAAACTTTTGCAATTATAATGCATAATTTCAGATGATTCATAAGGTTGCACAGGTCCCATTCAACTAAAAGTAAACAGAATCGGTTGTTAATGTTTGTGGACCGGAACTGCAGAGGAGGGCTCTCTCATGGTGGACACCATCCGTCAGACAAAGTTCTCGGATTTCAATAAATACTTCATTCTCACAGGAACATCAGTAGGCATGTGGCATAGATTGCCCTTTTTCGCCTACTACTCTGTGATAAATTTGACAGTCCGAAATAAGTCTCATCCACGATCATTATTCCGAGGCCGTGTATAACGCAATTTTTCTCGCGGCTTGTGAAGATTTAAATTATATTCAACCCCGCCTTGCTTACATTCGCTTACAGTGGACTCAACGTGGTGAAAAGCTGTTGCCATTGGTCTATCCAATCAAACTTCCAGAAACATCATTATCACTTTGCATGTCACGTTGACACGTTTGCCACAGCTTTCGGCCCCACCCACATACCAACCGTCCTTACCATTTATTATTATTATTGTTGTTGTTATTATTATTATTAATTACTTGTCTATTTACTTACAATCTCATCTACTGAACATCTATCTTATTCTTGATATTTTTACCACACGTTAGCTGGAGGCTCGTTCTTATCGTGAACGGTAAAATGTCATTTCCAGCATTGATTCCAAATAATCAGGACTCAGACTCGGGGAAGTTGGTGAGGGGGCATAAGTATCACCGGATGCAAGAACGGACGTCAGAAGATATTCCACTGGAAGTGTGTATGACGAGACAAGCAAAAGAACTGTGAGAAAATCTGAATTTGTAGACTCCGGATTAAGGTCCCGCTTGAAAAAATTATTCCTCAAGCATGCACACGACAAGTATGTGTTGCAGTGAATGTTTCAGAATTTTAAATGTGGTAACATCACTCTAGAAGGAGAAAATATTCCGTTACACATCTAAGAAATCTGCACAAATAATACCAACGAAAAAATTCCAGTCGGGGATGATTTTTCTATCCCCCGACAAACTACTACTGCACAAGGACTTTGTCTCATGAATAAATAAGAAGCGAGACATGTACATGGTAAAACTTAACAATAACAATGGAGTAGAAACTTCACTTACCGACTGTTGCGGGGTTTCCATGTCCTTGGTTAGGTTCTCAAGCACGGAACCTCCCATTGTTTCGGTATGTAGTATCACGGTTGGTGGAACCAGGCCTGCCTTCTTCCCGCCGACTTGGACAGACGGGCTGCTACGGATCGTAACCGGCAAATAACTAGTGTCTTCCTGGATTCGTTTCAATGACTGAATAGTTTCTTTTCCAATGGCATTTACTGCGCTTTGCCATGCTTCTTCCACCAACATGCCAGCCAGTTCTTCCAGTACTTCGTGAGTTGTTTGAGCTGGCACACTGAGGAATGGTTTTCGAATGAGTGAATGATAAGTGAAATCTCACACATTCAGAAGTCACTGAGTACTAAATATTGAGAAAACACCACCGCCTTTTTGGTCGGGTTAGAGAAGGTTGAACTCGAGGTTCATTTGGTTAAGTTCCAATGATCCACGCAGTATAGATATACATGGTTAGGAAGGTAATAATTGAAATGTCAACAAAAAACACTCAGTAGACTGCTTGGTTCTACACAACTATCGTCAAACCGGAAATAGGCACGAAGACCTCGGTAGTAAGAGGTTGCTTAAGCTTAGGCAGGCGCGATTGAAACTTCACGCTGGGGTTCGATTAGTGACCCACATCTATCTGAATTTTCTGCATAGGACGACCACATGAATCTATAAACCACGTAGCATAGTGTGAGGAAAAAGGATTAGCACTGGGAACAGTCCTCGGTAAAAATCACCCTGGAACTGCGATGAAATCGAATGCGATAAATGCAGTTTTAAACGCCTGCCGCGAGAAGACAGGCCTTTAGGCGTGGTTGTGATGACATTTTAGGAAAAATTGAAAGCAGCCTAACCTAGCTTTAGCAAGGATACTTTTCAAGCGCTCCAAGCTCAAGTGACGAAAACAGTGATGGCCTAAATTCTTAAACGTTTGTTGCCAAAAACATCTTATCCTGGTATTACATCTAGTTCGATCCATGTGGCCTTATTCAACATAGTCAACCTCCATCAAATGAATTTTGAATTCCAAATATGGATATGCTTCTTACGTGTCGCTAAGAAACGTTTTTTGGATGAAACAGTTTGACAGTCTAGTGGGAGACTGAACACAAACAATGTGCGTGTTTAGTAAGATAGAGCAAGGTATAATAGGCTTGTTGTGATGCAGGCAAAGGCGTTACCCAATTTTAAATACTCTTATTCGGTTACTGGGGGATATCTAGGACTCACTCTTCATTGCGTTGAATTGCAGTGCCCTGCTGCAGTCCCTCACCATGCAGGTTATCAATCATAAAAATCCCACCGCGGTCTCAGTTCTGCATAAGTTGCATTCATGTTCAGCAGGTTCAGCAGTTCTATGTGAATCTCAAGTCCACCGACTGCGGACAGAATGTTGTTTTAATTCCCCTAACTTTATTCTACCATTTGTTTTGTAGAATCTTGATATGTGAAACGAATAGTTAGTTGCCTCCAATCCACTTACAGGGAAACGAGTACAAGGTGACGAAAAAATTCCCTGTTCTCCATTGATCCAACACCTATGACTTCAAATGGAGATGTGGTCGAATGCAGTTGAGTCCAACGGAGAGAACATTTCAGTGGATCACTAGAATCGGTCGTTATCACGGTGGTCACTCCAGCGGAGTGTAAACACATAGAGTTCTTGATACTTGATCGAGAGCCACAAAGTAGTTGGTTGATGGAAACTACCCATAAAAACGCCACATGTTCTCGACATAACAGCACTGTTGTTTCTCCGTCGGCTGGACGGTACTGTTTGATGAATTTACCCGTATACACATGAAACACTCAAAAGAAAAGTAATCTGACAAACCTACCTGCGAGCCTTTCGCCCAATCATAGTTCTGTTGATACGTTTTCCCGTTTTCTCACACTGTACCCGTATTTTGTTACGAAACGTCTCCCCGGTATCACCACAGCTCAAGGTCGTCACGTTCTGTTGCATATCCTTATGGTGCGTCATTCTGAGTGTGGCGCTTAATGCCTTCTTTGTGATAGGGATGATATCCTTACGCGCAGAATCTCTCAGAGAACTTGATTGTATTGCTGACTGCGTCATTCTGGTCGACGATCCTGTTGGACGATTGGTGCTGCACACTCTCGGTAGTTTGGCGAGGATAGTTTCTTGAATCGATTCTTTGTTACATTTTGCTTTCGTTTTAGAGTTTGTTGATGGATCCACCTGTTCCAAGTGCGTTTTTAATATGAGTGTCTGCCTGGGTACGCTGTGACCTGAAGACTGGATGAAATCATGGCTGATGATCAAGAGAAATCTGCTGTGATAAGCTAGTTGAAATTCCAGTGTTTACCCATATTAAAGAGCCAAAACGAGTGACCGAGTACGGAAAAAGGTTATCAACGTTCAGGATTTAGCGCTTGCTGTCACTATAAAGGCCATACCAGTAAGCCGTATTATTCTCGAGTTTAACTGAAGCAAATCAAAGTCGTGAACCCATCGGACTGCTTTTTGGTAACCCAGTGCTGGCGTTATATACATTCAAGTTGACACCAAGGCTTCAAACTGACGGATCGTTTTACAGGCACCGTGGGTTATTCCACAACAAGCATGCGGGATCTCTGAAAAAGGGTGAAAATTTTTTGAGGATAAAAAATACGGATAATCACCGAGGTACCACATCTAAGTAAATTTAGGCAAGTCACCCCGAGAGTAGTGTGCCAGTGGGGAACTTCTGATTCCTTATTAATGTTGTGACAACTGCGTCACCTCAGTGATCATGGATATGGTCGCAATCCGTATAACGCCTTTTCATCCTACGTCATTTACAACATTTCGCGGTTCACCATAAAACTATAAACAAGTAAAATGGAGTCGACTGGTTGTTGATGAGGTAGCTGTTGATCTGTTCACCGAGCTTGGCAATTGGCTTGCAAACGTTTCGTCACCATACGAGGAGACATCATCAGTGCGCAGTTATGTGGGTACTTCTTCCTTACCTGTGTACGTTTATATAGCATTCGAAGGCTATCTGTCGAGACGTTTTCAAGCCAATTGCCCAGCTTGGCGAACGGATCAACAGCCACCTGATCAACAACCAATAAACTCTGCAGAGCTACCAAAATTTCAACACACCACCAAAATGGAGTCCACATACTGCCAGCTTTTAGCACCTGACGGCAGTCTTAACAACTGAAAGGTTAAAGAATGAGAATGTCAATGCACAGTTTGGGAATAGTGCTAGCACCGTATGGAGAATATCACAATTTGGGAAAAAAGCTCACTGCTCCTGAAGACGCTGTTTTCAACCCTCTGCAAAGCATACATACTTCCCATCTGGAGCTTTGTTTGGTTAGGAGAGCAGTAAGCAGAATAAAAAATCTGTCCTTAATCAAATAAGACTGCGAATACAGGCGTGATTTATAGGCTGAGTAAACCTAAGAAAATATCAGACCCTTTATCGTCTACCACGGGTAATTAGACAGTTCAAATTGTAGTTAACAGAATGACATCGCGAAGTCGAAACACCGTAGTTCGGAGAACCGTAAACAAGGAATGTATCTATGGTCGTGATTCTTTCAGATTATGTTTTCCAATAGATCTCAGTGACCTTCTTATTGAGACAACGCATCTCATGTTCGTTGAGGCCTCTTAAACACAAATGCTGTCTGTCATTTTTCCCGAGACGGTTGCAGTAAAATCGCTCAACAAGAGGAACACCAATGGGGTACAAAACGTTATTTTCTTGGTGAGATTTGCCTGATCAATGATTCGGGGCCCTAGCTAGTGATACCGAATTCCCTGGTATGTGCACCATTGAGTAGCATTCGAATGTTCAATTTGCCCGTTACACCAGTTCCACAGAATACACACTAACCTGATAGCCAGAAGACAATCATTTGCATAAATTCGTACAAAAGCAGTGCTAGTCAAGGAGTATTAGTGTTTTGTACACGCAAATCGCTTGGCAGTTGTGAGGTATCCTAATTCATCCCAACATTTGAGTGTAGTCTGAGCCTGATTGAAACCTCTGAAATATGCTATTCCGATTTTAAACATTTTACATATCAACAGGATCACTTTCTTCTTTACTTCCTTTTGGGGCACTGCCACGCACGACTTGTCACGTAAAGTTCCAAGTTTTATCTATAACAGTATCTATTCTGGTACTGGAACGTTTGGATACAGTGCACTAACCATAAAGTCCCGTATTTATAAGAACCCAAGTCCAACTATGATGGCCTGCACCAGTCACGAAAAATTACGGTGACAAGGCAGTCGACTGTGAATTTAACGCCGTCATGATCGGATGTGAATAATTTAAGTGAAGCTACTTGGTCACGACCACAAGACTGGCAGTTTGATATTCTGCAGTGTGAGGTAAAGATTAAAGAACCAGGTGCTGTTGCTAATCTCGTCTAGGTGGAATTTCCCCGTTAACGGACCTCTGTCTATCCAGAGTGTCCTTGTTGCGCCTAGAGGTCTTTTTATTCAAAGACTTCCAGATGAGCCATTTCCGAGAGAAAAAGAATTCGGTTGTGTTTTTGACCTCCGAAATGTATAATTTCTAAAGAGGATATCAGCGTTAGAAGTCTGTTCCTTCTGTGAAGATGAAGTTTATAACGAACAAAAGAATACCATCTGGAAAACACTATTTCCGTCTCTTCTAAAAGTTAGGAAATGAAAGCCAAGTTCTGATATGAAAGAACCACTCCCATCTACGCCACGTGTTACATCAAGGATATCAATTCGTCACCATCACCAATATCTTCCTCAAAAAAAAAACAGTTTATCAACTTTAGCTTCACCGTTTCAAGCAAGTCGAAACGAGACGTACCGAATTCAGGGTCGACTGAATGCCTTTGATGTATTTTCAGTAGACCATTCCGTAGTACACCCTATCTTACCGTAGATGAACACTCATAGTCAAGAGGATAATGACGGTTTTGAATCATAATTACGTTTTGTTAGGCTGTGAGTAACTGATCTTCTATCTTATCATTACCACTGCGAATATAAAAGGCGCCTCATCTGGATATTTTCAAATCACGTCGAAATTCAACCCAGATCGCGCCAAAAAAGCAAGCTACCACAACATGTAGATGTCGCTGGATCGCAGCAAATAGATAAAATTTGTTTGCGTTGATCATGTAGTTTGTTAACCACTATGATCGTCTTCTCCCTGTTGGTTAAACCAACTACAGTCATTACTGTCTTTTTAGCAAAATACATTCATTTGCATATGAGTTTGACGGCAAACCTAACTGGGTCTCTCGTCAACGATGTTCTGCTTCAACAGAATGCACCACACCATGCCACCTCATTTTTCAGCTGCTACGATACGCCATTATCGCAATACATTGCTGACTGGTTTTGCTCTTCTTGGGGCCCAGCACATAAAGAAGTCTTCTTTGACTTTATGAGTAGTGTGTGACCTCAACTGTTTTTATTTTTCGATTCGACAAGTTCGCATTGTACTGCTTACTGCTGAAACGCGATAGTAAGAAAAAAGCCTGAACAGGGACGTCGGATAAGCTATTTTCAAGATGAAAAACTTAATATATAACTACTGAGCTGCTATCAACCCTCTTATCTTTTTGAATAGCGATACAAATATTCAAAATCAGCTGTTTACGCGGACGAGAACTGGGACACCGCGAAGTTGCCGGAGCCTACATAGAATACCCCGATCTCCATAGGGTTAAATATGATAAGTTGTACTTGTTAGGAACTTTGAGACCCTGTCTGAGTTGTAATCTTCCAAATTATTTACAAGACTCTCCATCATCTGGAATTGCGAGTATACTAGGGTAAACATCCTTTCGTACACTACTTACTGACATCTGGTGCATTTCCTTCCGAGACACACTAGAGCGTAAGACACTGGTAAATATTGAAGGCTTTCTTAAACTTCCGAATGTCTATGTCTGGTGCTGACCAGGTGTTGTGGCTTGCTGAATCGTTGTGCAACTTTATCATTTTCTATCAATTTCTTGATGTAAGGTTTGTCTTAGATAGTGGTGAGGCACAAAATTGAACCCACCAATGGATGAGACGTTCCAATGAATTGTGTGAAAGCAATATAACGTTCCCAGCGTTTCAGTATCCTCCAACAACCATACGAAACGGCCATCTACTCCTTCTACATACAGGATATCCAGATGAGATGAAGTGTCGAATTTGTAGTGTTTTTTATTTTTGAGGACGATAAGTACGGCAGACTAAAAGCGCTCTAGTTTGTGATTGTCAGTGGCATGATTTCCGAGAATATATGTTAAGGTAAAGTGGTCAGGCCAGAAGCAACCTACTGGCATTTAGTGAATCCACTGAGATGTCGACTGACACAAAATTTCCGATGTCCATCTATCGGGTCGATTTCGAGAGATATCTCATGGTGGGACTAGCAATCAATCAGAGCATCCGCAAAACAACTAAGCAAGCTGCATCTCTAACGGAGCAACCGTCAAAATTTATTGTCATTCGAATTGCTCTAACCTTTCCTTGTGAGTGTACACTTGTTAGTCGTCCAAAAATGAATAATCCATTGTGCTGCGCCCTCGAATTTTCACTCCGCCGATACTGGCCTTCCGTCACTCAAACTAGCTTTCATTCAAAAAATAAATGCGTCAATGCACCTTCGTGAAAAGTTATACAGATCGAAGTGAAGTCGTTCACGTGACTGTCTACATGCATTTCTTTTACTACCACCCACCTTCCCATGTTTTGCATTCATTTTTACTTTTACTGTGAACGAAATCACTAGGGCCACTGTGATGAAAGGGTAAGGAACTTTGCGCACAGCGATGTATGTCTTCCTGTCAGCAGAAATATACAACCAAACGACCGGAAAGACGTATGTGACTCCAGTGGAAAGAACTCAAACGAAGAAACTCGTGGAAATGACTAGAAAACTGTAATTTCATCATTACAGATGACGTAAAAATGGCCTAAAACATGCGGAAGATAACAAGCGATATTTTCTCTGATGAAATAGTGATAGGGAATAATAACGCCTAAAAAGGTTCGTATTCACCGATAACGTCCTTGTTTGTAGAAAAACGTAAGAGGGCAGTTGCGTTGTGCGTCGGATGTTAAATACTATCCACAATTGAATACGAGAATTTACGCGGTATTACGCCATCCTAACCGACTCTCACTTTTCCGGGCAAACTACAAGTAAAATCTAATGTTTACGTGGTCCACGGAGCCACACAGAAATGGCAGACAGACCACTGATCAAAACCTTTATGTACCATTTCCCTACACAAAACAGCCAGGTAACTAGCAGAAACTTCGACAATATAGGGGCCCGCTATGTTGAAGTGATACGATAGTTTCAAAATGGCGGAAAAAACTGGCCGACTTGCGTGGTGGGCTTTATTGTTCTCCTTACTGACTTTTGGGACCACGGGTCGGTCTCGTATACCTGAGCAGAAAAGTAAAAGGCGTCTCAAGTTAAATACTTCCACAGAAAGCTCCACTAAACAGAAGTATGAAATAAAACTACAAAGTGACTGCTTAACCAAAACTGATTTAGGGCTTATGAAGAAGCAAGCTCATCGAGTTCAAAAATCCCGCAATCTTGGCATGAGGTAATGGTTAGCTGAAGAGTTGTGCTAATCTGCTACGTTCTGCAGAATTCCGCTTTCGTTCAAGAATATGGACAACACATGCCTGTAGAATTTATTTCCACGGAACTTCTTGCTTATAGAAGTGCAAAAACAAAACGTCCATATAGAGAAGCAAGCGGTTTTCACGGTACGTTCTCCCACTCTATGGCATATCACCATACTCTGTTATATCAGATGGATTTTTAGTCACCAGAGTTGACAGTTTGGGCTAATCTGTTTCTGGTACGGGTTCCGTGATAAATCGTCATACTGTACTTCCTACTGATCCTGAAGCTTTCAACTTAGCCCCTTTCGGGAAAGATTGCAGCCCCGAACGATTGTCAGTATTTCATTGTTTTTGATACATAGATTAGCTACAAAGGAAGTTTTCCACTGTTATTAATTATCATCACTAAACGGTACGTAATACTGCCCGTCCTAGGTAAATTGGCGAGCTCAGTGTTTCTTAGTATACCAATGTGATCTGAAACAAGTGCTTCCATAAAATCTCGACCCGACGAGCTGTTTTGACCTAATTGAAACCACGTGAATGCGTGAGGGGGACGAGCGTGCTTGGCTGATACTGGCTGGCAATGCTTGGGATTATATGCACGCACATTTGATAAAGAAATGTGCTTTTTCACGAACAGTCAGTTCATCATAGCATCTATCATACAAAAGCCGTTGGCTTGTGGTATCCTTGGAACTAGAAACCTCTTCCTAAAGCCGTCACAACCCTACACGGAAGACACTGGCAACCGGTGATGTGCTCCCCGTGAGCTCATCACACAACAGTCATAAGAAAAATAATCAGATGGGCTCCGCATCTTATCGGTACCAAAGGCAAAGCTATTATCGAGGCATCCAACAGGTGCCTTTGGCATATTTTCCTCCACGATTTAGACACGACTTTCCAAGCAATGAAAGGTTATATTATCTTTCATAAAACATTTCTGAACCATCATTCGATACTCACAAGCGCGGCTCAGATAACAAGGGAGAGGTACATATATCATAGCGACACTGATCCGAAACGTACAGAGTACTACTCATACAATGATGTTTATTGATTGTATTTCCAAAGAAACTGAGATTAACAGAACAACGTTCCCGCTGTTCACTCTTGAGCAGTCGCCACGAGCCGTACCTTAAACTAGTGCAAGCGTTAACCAGGCGAATAGCCGCTTTCGGTTGTCAAAAACTATTACATGTTTGTCTAACTCGGAAATTTCAAAGTCCAAAGTGTAGTAGGTCATCGACGATAACCGTGTTTAGCGGTCGTTCCACCTCGGACACTCTGTTTCCTCACACTTACATTGAGGTAGGGAAGATTTCTGACGGAATCGTCTGATTCCATAGAAAAAGTCTGGAGTAGTTCGCAAAAAGATTGGATGCTAAGTCTTCGTAATAAAAACATTGATTCTACTTAGACTCTCAATAACCGTGCATAATCTTCACAGGTTGCTCATGAAATAATATGAAGCAAGTATTGGATCAATCTTGTGGTTTGATACAGGTGCGTGGAAACACAATGCATATCACCTTTTGTGGCCGGGGTATAGAAACTCCGATATATTCGACCCTTATCCGAGTGACATTCCGAACGAGATCCTTCCGTTAGGCTCCGAGTTGTTCTTGATGCTTTTCCGATGTTTTTGTAACTGACTGTGACATCGCCGTTCCTCAGAGTACTGGTGGGTATCGCCTTCCGCTCTAGTGGCCGTTTCAGGCCATCTTTCAACGGTACAACCGTACGGGATGAGACAGATGTACTGGTAGGCGCCCTACGCTTTTGCGGAAACATCGCAACGTTCGCATTGTTAACGTTTGCAAATCGAGCAGATAGCATTTCCCGAGTTGTAAGACAAACAAGACGTGGGGTTGTGGAGCCAAAGGGGATGACCGGGCGACGAATTTCCGCGTTCCGACTCTGGTTAGTATTCAAATGATAATTCCACACGAGTGAACTCATTTCATTCAACCTTGCCGAGCTTGTTCGTAACCCGCAAGCAACCAGATCACCCAGCTTTATTGCTCCATTGTTGTGCCGTTCTAATATATCAAATATCCGCATCTAAAGACAAAAGAGAATATGTGAGTTACTTCAAAAGTGATTCAGTGTTAACCATAACGGTCATTTTGCTTAATCAGGCAGCCAATCTGTTGCCCAATGTCAAGAAGGCCATCCACGCCATGGCTTTGTCATTGGATATCCACAATTGCAAAACATAACACAAACTGACTGGAATACACTGTTTGAGCAAGAGTAAACTAGAGTCTTTCCATAATAGTGACTGCTAGAGAGAAGATTTTAACATGGGCTCTACCAGTACCGGAAATAGCAGCACAAAAGCTTCGTACGACTAATTTCGATTATTTCATTGAGTCTTGCATGGTCTTCCAGTTCGATCAAACCTGGTCAGTATTGCGATTGTTCGGGCTTTTCTATCTGCTTCATAAGATTTGTAACAGTCGCTGATGCAAGTGACATTTAGTGGCTTATTCTTAAGATTAGATTCTGGAAGACCTAGCGGAGAATGATGTCCGGGTAGGTGTACGAAATAAAGCACTTTGAATGAGGAAGGCCAAATGAGACGGCTAGGATGAAGTCAGAAATGGATATTACGAAAAGCCTCATGCTTAGCCTGATGGGCTAATTTTCCGTCGTTAGTTTTCAGTTGGCGTCAGTAACTTGGAGCTCCTCCTAACATGTGACACACCGTTTACATACGGTAGCGGGAGCAGAACTAAGCGGGTGGTATGATGACGGGTAAATCAGTCGCCAATTGAATGAACGTACTGATGGTGTTCTCGCTGACTAATGCGAATAAAGTAGTGAATCATCAGTAATGCGTATCTCACGAAACCCCAAACAGTCTCGAACCCGTGACCTCCCGGCTAGTAGTGTGGACACTTAATCGTTCGACCACGAACGGCTGGTCAAAAGTGAGATTAACTCGCACGTAGGCAGGATACAGCGCCACTCATCTTTCATTTACGGGATCCACATCACCTGTCCACACCTCTTGACTGGCTTTTCGAGTTTCCTGAAGTTTCATGAGATGCGCAATTTTGATGGTTCCTAATGAAGGATGAAAAAGGTGTACAATTCTCCTCGGTTTTTCAACATAGATTAGCTTCGCTTACAGGACGAAATCTAACCTCAAATCCCCTCATACCCCAAAAACTAGCGAGCCTGTATGTAGGGGGTAAGAACAGCATCTGGCATCTGCGTGCTACAGTTAATCCTGACATTGTTCTTAATTTGACTTTTGTTCTTGGATTACTGTCCCAATAAGTCAAATATGCACCCAGGGAGTCAGATCGTAAAGGTGAATATGTTGTTGGATATTCTTCCCTACTCTGCGCCACCATAAAAACAGCAATGGAAAACAGCTTTTCTATGGTGTAAGAAGTCATCTTGATTTCAGCCAGTATTGATCCGAAGGTAGTCCATGACAATGTCTCAACGGAAAGTGGTTCACGTTCTGGTAATCTAGGGTTAGTTGTTGGAGCGGTCTATCTGATATGAAACAAGAGTTGGACACGTGTGTTTTTCGCTCTGAGGTTATGTAGCCATTCGGTTCAGCCGTGGAGCTAGCACGTGAGATAACTAGTTTCTACATTTATCGGCAAGTTTTGCTTAGTAGTAACTTGTGTGACTGTCGGGAGTATTTTTGTGTTGCTACGGAAGATTGGTGGCATTTTTGTAATCTTCTTACCCGTTGAGCCACTTCCAGTTCTCGTTTTCTAGCCTCCACCTGTTCATGTCGAGCTTGCATTCGAGCGCGTAGCTTTACCAGTTTCAAATTTCTTCTCTCTAATGCTCGCTGTCTGGCTGATTCCAATGCAGCTTCCGAAGCAAGTAGCGTTGCCTCCCTAGCTGCATACTGACGATCCTCCTCGGAGCGCGCCTTCTCCCTCGAGAGACGATTGGCCCGACCAAGTCGATATTTTGTCAATAACCCACTAAGGCTTGAACCAGAGGTCACCGAGGTGTCCTTGTTTTCGGCTGACATGAAACTAAGAAGTTGTTTCGTCAAATTCTCGAGAGAGGACGTGCTTTCACTGACATCGCCAGTATCCTGGCCACCACGATTTAATGCACTCCTTTCGCGCATTCTCCCTAAGTATGCAACAATGAAAGAAATGGTGGTAGTTTGTGACCGACGTAATTGACCCGCACCTGTGAACATAGTTTTAACATCCAAAAACGTAGACCTAAATGTAGTGAGCGAAAATCAGCGAATTTTTCCACACCAAATCGTTGGTACACAAACCTTATTATTCAGCAATCTTCTCCCTGAGTTAATGGTTTCACCATCGGATGGAAGGGCTTTCTAAGGAGTTGTTCACTACTACGAATCGGGTTTTGGCACTACATAAGGGATAACCAGACTTCTGTGAACGTTCGTCAGAATTTCCGTCGTGGGAAATTAAACTCGCTTATGTCATGTCTCTCTTCACTTTTAATACTACTGCAACCGGGATTGTGACATAATTTGTAATGTCTCCACCAAAGGAAACTTTAAATCAAGGAAAATATAAAAAAACGTTCCCTTCAAACAATATAAAGAATACTGTTGTTGCACATTATCCCTATCGACTGAAAGGTCAAAGATAAAGTGCTGATTGAGGACTATACACTTGGGTCATCGCTCTAAACTACTGTGTTCCGTGTGCCCACAGGCTATCGAGAACTAACGAAGCAAGGATGAATGGCAAAAACGGAGAATGTATGGCTAGCAGCATTTTGCTCCGAAGTGAGGAGCGCAGGGAGAAGTAGGACCAATACAGCAAAAGCACTTAAACCATTCAGTGCTCACGAGTAATATCAGCCGAATAGCTCATGCGTAACCAGAGTCCGGGTTGCACTGCTGTTTTTCGCGTAGCTGACATGTTTTTTGCTTTAGTCTCTTCACTTGAGAATCTTCGATTTTTGCTACTGAGATTACTGGGGAATCTTGCGTCAGCTTGAACAATTGCTATTCCGTGCTTTTGTTTTCTCCAGTTAGCTAAATAACAAGAAGCTGAGGTTGTGAAACAATACATCTCATCACCTGTTGTCCCAACTGACCGTTCAACTGGCTGCATTGTTGGAAATGGTCAAGTCAGATGTGAAAGCCGGCTCTCTTCAGATATAAATGGTAGAATGGGCATTAGGATAATAGAGGGACAGTGTGCAGTCTGGGTGATACTGCTGTCGGCCAGTTACGATATCAGCATCCATTGATGCTGAAACCAGACGTACTTAATGTCCAGTTATCTAAAAAAAAAGGAAAAACGAATTCCAGTGTTCTGATCGATCAAAGTTGCCGGGCCTTTGTAGTCATGTCCTCACGATGAAATAAATGACCCGAAAGAATTCAGAAAACTCTTTAAAAATCCAACAAACGACTTTTCAAAAGAGTAAGCCAATCGACATGCCTTGACGAACAAACTGCAGCAGTCTTTACTCCCGACAAATGTAGTTATTCCTCCCAAAAATTGGAAAACCACTGTTGGTTTGTCTTGGTGTGACGCCACTTGTGTCAGTGCGCACACCGATAATATCCCCGTAATTGGTGACCAAAACCCCTGTATGTAGACTGCCGAGCTCGGTGATCAAGTCAACAGTCACTTGATCTAAACCAATGAATTTATTTCGTAGTAGACCAGGGGATTGTACATAGTTGGAGTTAAACACCCATTTGTAAATTAATTTAAAAAAAGGCGACTTGAGTTGATGGATGTTGTGACTGAGATATTCAGTTGAGTCTCCCTTTAAAACTTACATCTGTTTCGGAACTGAAGATATTATGCCAAAACGATTTAGTTTCGAGCATTTCAGTCGACGACCTTGGTAGAAACCTGGTATCTTGAGAAACCCTAAATTTTTAATCATTCTGTGGTGATAATGACTATAGACCATGGTTTTTGCTCTTTCGATTTATTGGATAATCTTCATAGAACGTGAAAAAATAGATAGACTAAACAACCCAACTCAAAAAGATCCAATAAGATTGAAAGAAATTCGTGGCAGTAGCCTTAAATTCATTACTAAACATGACTTTAAAATTTGTCTGTTTCTTTCGGCAAATTTTCTCCCCCTCCCAGTGTTTTCAGATTGTATTTCTATATTCTATGAAAGTACTTGTCTGTCATCCGTTTAAGCATCATTTGGTGGAGTCCATGTCTCACTTAATGTCTCTACCTTTTATTTTGTTGGATCCAGTAACGATGGTACGTTCGATATGACCAGGATCATGATTCTGGTGAGCAGGTTGAGTCTCAGAAAGCTAGTAATCAACCGAATGAAAAGTTCGGGGTTGTTAGAGTGATAAAAAAACGAAAGGTGGTGTACAAGAAAAGTGCAACATTAACTAAATTATTACTGAAGCGACTAACGAGCAATGACTCCAGCTGAAAATGGCGTTGATGTGTTAAGCCAACAAGTAGGCGCTGTTGAAGTGGCGGATTTTTTGTCAAAGGTCCTCAAACAAGTTGTTCACAACGAGCAATCCTTGATATGGCTAAGGCCTGAGGGACAGTACAGCACAAAGTACGAAGGGAACGTTCAGAGGTATCAGCATTTCGCAGTTCACTTTTCGAGGCTAATTCAAAGCCCCAAGCTACCGCCATAGGGTTTGAATGTGAGGAAACTAGACATGAAAACTACCCGCCTTAGTACTACTACTATTACCCACTACACGAATCTGCAATACCTGGCTTAGAGTTCACCATTGTTGGATCGGGTAAAATATCTCAGAGGGCTTCTCACATGAAAGTTATCAGAGCAAAAGCGAAAAAGCTAGCGCAGGCAACCTACACTCCATGGAAAACCTAGCATACAGGTGAACTAGAACTATCATCAAATAGCTGTCTACCACCAAGAAAATAGTTTCTCCTTATACGAAACATTCATTGCAAACCGCTTCCCCTAGTATGATTTACCTCAGCCAAGCATGAACCGGGCTTAGCGCCAGCTGTCTGCCTAATCCCATTGTCTCCAAACCCTATCACCATAGAAACAGGAGGTCAGCTTCTTTTTTATCGATTTTCATTCAGTTGTTCGAAGCATGAGCAATTGACTGAAGGTGCTCCTAGTCCATTGACAAACCAGTACTCAGGTTCACCACCACTAAGTTTCGTTATCATATACTGAATATTGGTTAATATACTTACCGAGAGCTAAGATACTGCCACATTTTGGAGCCCTGTACCGGTGATCTCTTTCCGAAGTATCACCGAATCCAACTTGGGCAGCACTTCCATCCAAAAAAGAGACATCCCTTCCCAATTCAAGTTTTTTAAAATGAAATATGGGCGTGTATAATTGAACTCGCTAAACGAGTGCATGAGCAAAGTGGTCGACTAACAAACCGGATAAGGAGTGAAATGTGACGCGCAAGCGAAACCAGAATACTGCGACTGAATTTCCATATCAATAGACTTTCTGGTAAAAATTGAGCATAGAGGATAGTTCTTACCATTCTTACCGTTTTGAGTAAGTTATCTCAGAAAAAGCAGGTTCTGGTAAACCCCTAATGGAGTTGCTGCAGCCAACTGGCACCTCTAATTCCCTGCCGTCCGTTACACGGTGAACACAATTAGATCATCTTCCTCCCCGAAAAGATTTGATTTCATTGCCAAAAGGTGAGAATTTTGAACAACCACCACGTTTTAGCAGATGGTGCGAAGAGTGACCATGATCCTGCATAATCACTTACGGGCTACTACCCCGTCACCTGCAACCATTTTGTGCATGAGGAAATCAGGACCTCTCTGTTGCAACAACGACAAAACAGAGCTTGGATTACAGGAGTAGGGCGCACTTCCTGTTCAGTGAGGGAATAAAGTGAACGCGACCTTCTGCTGAGGGGTGAAACAACCTCCTCTGGTTAAGAGCCGCCATCCTAGATCGTTCCACAGTTCAAAAGCCCATAGATCACGAAACTCATATATTCTTCATGGGTTTTAAGTAAATTCCTGCATTTGATTAGCTGATTACTCAGATCAGGTGTAACTGACCGGCGTATATTATGAACGACCTTGGACTTGCTGTTTTATCCGTTCAACGATATACCAGTTATCTATTTAGCTTTTGTTCCTTCTCCAAAAAATGAACTTGTTCAGAGAGACTGGAAATCATGTATATTAAACCATGAGGGGTACGTACGTCCTTCTAAACCCCATCCATGCCGATAATATCAACTGAAACACATAGCATCACTTGATGCACGATGGTTCGTGCGTTTTGAGGAGGAAAAACTAGAGAGAGACAAAAATTTGCATTCGGCAAAACACCATTAAAAACTGTCAGTAACAGTCTCAACGTGTGCCATCGAATCATATAAAAAACAATTAAATATTCGCGAACGATTGAAATGGTGTAGCTGTATGTTTACTCATTGTGTTTTCGAACACTAATCTCACGCTCACGTTATACAGCATGATATCAAAATCATCGTTTACCTCAATGAAAGGGAAAACAGCAAATCATACGCGTCAAGTTTCTAACGGAGTACAAAGCAATCACACAATGTGGAACGACATAACTCCGAACCACTAAACGAAATCAGTGACAGAAAAGCTGAACTACATGGGTTTCATCTTTTGAATGAGCAAACGGCAGAAAATTCTTTGGACAGATTCGCTGCATTCTAGGTTTAGATCCTTCGCTCAAAATGGCCGTAGGCTGGCTATCTTTGAGGTATAGGTTTTCTGTAAACCCCTAAAGCACATTGCAAAACTGCTTCAATTTGACACAAAACGGAGAATAAATTAAGATCCACGAAAACATAGACGCACTTCAATTCAGTAGTCCAGTGCGGATAAAGCATTCTTCCTTATTTTCGCCCAAAACTCTCTGGTTTTTAAGCATGTTTAATCGCATTGAAGTGCCTGTGTCAATCGTAGTTGTATTACATTCACAAACGCGTTACCTAACCATTATTCAGTACAGGATATACTTGGTTCATATGTAGACAGCGCGAAGATAGGTTTAGGTGGTTTTGGGATTGTAAGTTGATTGTCAAATGGTGATTTTTCAGATGAGCACGAAAAATACACCACGTGTTGTAAATTACGCTGTTTGTCAGATCCGCATACATCGACAACGTGTGTCGCCAATATGTCAAGAAATGATTTGGACATTTAAAATACCTCGCACCAAAGTTGCCAGACATGTGTTAACGGGCGTAAAAATTTTCCACAGAGAACTAGACGTTGCTGACAGGTTTTGACAGCTATATAGGATTGGCCTTGAACTATTCTGAAGCCCATAATCTTACTAAAAAAAGGTTCGCTAGGACCAAAACGGGAGCACCCTGCCAATAAACGAGGGTTCGAATAAGAGGACGATAACTGAAGATGAAAGATAATAACAAGGATATTCGCGTAAACAAAGACAATGGTGGAAAACAGCATCTCGATTTCTAGGGCTCGTTTTCGTACTGTGCAGTCACGCACTTTTCATCGGATGGCAACTGATGAAAGGTAGCTGCTCTAGATACCCGTGCAACTGACCGAAAGGTTCGAAACAGACCCTTGTATCTCGGCTGCTCCTGTCTAAGACTGAGGAACCCGGCAATAGCTCAGCTCTTGTGCATGCTTCGGAGGGCGTGGCAGTCACCTGCCTAAAGGGAGTTACAGCCGAATGACTATTGTTATTAATTGAAGGTAGGCGTAGGTGCAAACGATGAAATGGCCCTATTTGATACGACACTTTCACCTTGATGATTGTCACCTTGTTTTCCGGTGGAACGCAAACTCTGGTTTCCATTTCAAGCAACATACGCTTTTTCCCACGGGGCCACCACGTGATTATGCCTAGACTGATAAAGTTTACATCAGCAGGATGAAGCCCAAGTGAAAGATCGCAAAACAAAACTGGAACAAAATCACATACTAGTATTAGATTTCCAGGCTGACTCTGCCGTAAAATTTCCCTTGAGAGCAAGCCCATTCACATTATTATGCGAAGACGAGAGATCATCGCCTTCCACGCCATAGTTAATGAATGATAAAC